TTACAAGACTCATCAGAGGGCGATTCTGCGTTATTACTGGCCAAACATTTATAAAGACGAGGCTCATTTCGTACGCAACTGTCACGTATGCCAACAGATGAAAGTTGAGCAGGTGGCTCCGGCGGGACTTATGGGAAAACATGTAGTCACGCGCCCATGGGAAATAGTCTGCGGAGACACTACGGGTCCGTTCCCGAAATCGCCACAAGGTCACGGCCACCTGTTGATTTTCATAGATATGTTCACTTGGTGGATCGAGTGCATACCCATACGAAAGGCGAATGGCAAGACCATCAAGCGAGAGCTAAATCAACGAATTTTCTGGCGATTTGGCGTCCCCGAGAAATTTTTGTCTGATAATGGCACGCCCTTCAAGAACAAACTCGTGGATGACTTCCTAGACTCCCACGGCGTTTACCATGCGACGTGCGCGCCCTACTCACCGGAGTCCAACCGAACTCAACGGAGCGCGTGAACCGGACCGTAAAGACGATGATAGCAGCGTTCATCCAAGAAAAACACACTAAAAGGGACGAACATATCGCGGAATTCGCTTTCGCGTACAATACAGCCATTCACGAGGCAATTCGCTCCAGTCCGACGCTCGTGCAAGAGCCTTTGTGCCCCAAAAGTTCCTGGGATAGATTGAGAGAGCCACTAAGCTGCGTAGCTACTTGGACGCGGCAGAGGCCCAATTCGTGGCCAACGAAGAGGCCGACAAGATTAGGGCGGACCTGATGGCCCTTCAACGGCAAAAGCTCCAAGAGCTGGAGGCCCTCTGAGCGGAACTGTCTGCTATGGAGCAGGAACGCCGAAACGCCCCGAGGCTGCTTTCAGCAGAGCTGCCCCGCCGCGGGCCAAGACCAACCGCGTTACAGTACCAAGGTGCCACCGTACCGTGCGGACGATTCGACGGCCCGAGAGTCAACCTCCGCTACAAGAGGTACTGCTGGGTGTGTAACCTGATCCAGGTATCGAGGACGGACAACTGTCCCAACTACACTATGCATCAGCTGTTCAAGAACGGGAAGTACCCGAAATACGAGTACCGGAAGGCCCCCAGCCCGGTACCGACCCCTGGACGGAGCGGAAGCTTCACCAGGGACTGAAGAATGACTGCGCGATTCGCCCGCCAGCTCGTTGGCCCCCTCGTCGCTTCTGTTCCTCCCTCTCTTTACTACCGCTTCAGAGCATCACGAGGCTCGATTACGTTTTTTTGTATCGGCACTGACGCCCCTTTTCCTTTTTCTTGTGTATCATTTTTGGTTTCTAGATTGTAAAGAGCGACAATGCTTTGAAGCTACTTTTTCTTAAGTGTACTTTTATTTTGTAGTTTATCTTATTTTTCCATTAAAAATGTATTTTTCCACATATTAGTTGTGTTTATTTCCTGGTCGAGAGAGATAGTGGGTCGAGCTGGTACCGACCCCGCTACCAGCGTCTGGGGGAGAGGAATATAACAAGTTGAGTCTCGTTATGTCTCTCTCTTCCCTTAAGTCAATTATAATTTATTAATAACTCTCTTATGTATTTTTCCTATCTAGCCGCAGCTGTTGACGCTGCACGAAGTAAGTGAGAGAGCGCCGAGCAGAGAGAGAGAACCGCGTGTATGTGTATGTGTATGTGTATGTGTATGCGTGAGTGTGTGGATGCATGAGTGTCGCGTGCGTTTGCCTAATTGGCTGAGACGGGCCGCTGCCGAATAGCCAAGGAGAGAGGGGGACCTCTTCCGCGTGCAAAGGAGAATTAACTGCCCGCCTTCGCGGCGTACGCTGAGCTGTCAACGCGCGATCGGTAGATTTCTTTGTGCTACGTAGCCTGCGTTTTTGTCGTTAGGTACCGAGAGTGCAGAGTGTGCGTGATCGCGTGGAAGACTATGGCACCGAAGTGCATCCTGCAGGCTGTGTGCTGTGTGCGTGCGTGCGGACGAACTGTTGATCAGGTCGGGAAGGCTGCCCCGAGGTTGAATACTTGTGTGTTTCTGAAGCGAGTTCGAGGCTACTGCGAAGCCGACGTGTAGGTACTTGCTCGATTATTATCTATCTCTCTCTCTCGCTTCCTGCTTGTCTCTCTCACAGCGCATATCATTTGTACGCTTTCTTTATTTCCTTCATTTTAGTAAATGCTATTTCTCTTAACCACGGTGTCTTTCCTTTCGACGTTCTCCCCTCCCACGCTATACACGTGCTGACTCGTACCACCAGCAACTACCTAACCTGCGACGCTCTCCGCGGGCCGAAGGCAAGGACACCTTCAAGTGGCATAGCTGAGCCACTGGGCTGGGTTCCACGTAATCCCGTACCGAGCCTGCAACGAGCCGAGTATCTATTTAGCATCACCCACCATGGAGAAGTCTGAATCCCCGTTACAGTACACACACAAATACTCGGAGGGTCCATTCCTCTGCGTACTCCACGCGCCGAACCTCCGTAACTATTTTAATGATTGACGTAATATTTAAAAGTGCCATTATAATAATAAATAATTACATAACAGCAATTTGAATAAAAGTTTAATAAAAATATTCTATTAAAATAATAACTCTTTAGAAAGGATGCCGTTATTAAAGAACCCAGTGAAAAATGCTTTTAATAAGGACATTTTGATTAAAGGACCATTGAAACAATGCCTTTAGTAAAGGCATATATGTATAGATACATTATTACTCGTTTTATATAGAATCCAGTAATTAGCAGGTGGCTGTATAACTTCGGCTGGTTAATTATAATAAAGTTAAGACTTTTTTTTATTTACCCCAAAATTTATTTACAATCAATCTATGAAAATAAGACAATAAGTAAATGTGTTTGCTATTATGAGAATTAAAGTATAAAATATAATATTCCAGTGAGAATTAGATTTTTATTTTTGACTTACATCTGTATTATATTTTATTAATTTTGATTTTACTGTATATTAATCAGCTTATGTTTCTTTAGTCTGGTAGTAGTGATCATTGTCGTGAGAAGTTTGTTAATAAGTTTGTTTGGGTGGTTTTTTAATCTCGTGTTGATTTCTTCTTTTACTAATGATATCTGTAGATCATGCCAGTTGATGTCATTTGATACAAACTATGGGCCACGTACGATATTTCTTAATAATTTAGGTTAAAACCTTTCTAGGATTCCCATGTTTGAGTTTTTTGGGAATTTAAGCCGGTGGACAGCTATAGTGCGCCGAGCGTCCCAACCTCTAATTTAGGGCCCCTTATTTGGGAAAAGACGCCACGTGCCTACGTTGGGGGCACAGCCGTTTCTGGGGAAAAACCAAATATTGTAGCGGATGGCAGCGGTCGTAAATATAAGCATAGGTAGTCAGTATTAGGACGCTTTAAAAGAGAGCGACGTGCTTACATATACGCAAAAACAGGACACTTCTCGCCGTCTCTCGCCCCATATAGACGTGCACACGCTGGAAACTGTGTCGTGGCCATTATGTCCTATTTTCGGTTTCAAGGAGGCAACTCCTTGAAGGCCATAGACCTCTCGAGAAAACCTACGATTTTAGGTATTGAGAATCACCTCCAATGGGAGCGGTGAGGTCCAGGGCCAAGCCTTGGACCGTCGAGAAAACGGGCGAGGATTGGGAGCGTGGGGAATCTGAGGGAATAGATGACGCAGCGGCTAACGGGCTAACGACATGTCGGGAACAATAAACGTACGCCCTGTTTGGGGAGTTTGAACGGCCGGATTGTTTTCCATAAAAGTGGCTCGGCGGATAGTTTATTAGTTTAGTATTAATTTATTTTTATTAATTTCTGAGCGTCGAGTTGAATGCGACTCATAATTCAAACGAATACTTTGCGACAAGGTTTTTTCCCTTAAACAGCGTGGTTTTTTTATGCCTGTCATCTTTTTCTTATGTAAAAAATATTAAATAAAAATATTGTGAAAATATAGTAAAGAAAGAATATACACCAGTGTTTGCCTCTTTGATTTCTCTTCTGCTCTACTTACTGTTATCAGAGTTTGTACGGCACCTCACAGTTGAATGCCATAAGTCCTGATTGTAAGCTCTGATTTTTTCCAATGAGCCGATACATTTTTCACCATTTAAGTCCTAGTTCTTTATATTTTCTAAATATAAGCTCTTGCTATGTAAGCCTCTGGTCTAAATAAATTGCTAAGTATTCCACATGACTGCTTTGTAGTATATGTTTGTTATTAAGTTTAAGAGGTGGGCAGGTACGTATCTTTCCTAAGAATGAAAGTTATATGTATTTGTTCTGGTAAGTGTAAAATTACATATTTCTTTCAATACAGTAATAATTGGCAAATACTTTTTTGAAGTTGTCGGTTGAATTTAATTTCGTTTTGTCTTATCAATTTCAAGATATAATTTTCATTAGCTATTGTATTTAGTAGATTTTTTACATCGTAAACGAAAATCAGATGAGATTTACTTTTCAAGTTATTTACTTCATTGTTTTCTTCTTCACTATGATATATTTTATTTATTTTCTTTATATTCTTGTAGTATTTTGTAATAGTTACTTGCGTTACTTAGCCAGTTGTCCGATAATTGGGATTGTTCTTTTTATTTTGAGTTTGGTGTTTTGGGCTGTTTCTTTATTTTTTTGCCGCTTACAATTTTCCAGTTTTCGTTGTTTTTATTAAGAGTGGTCTTTTTATCTCCTGACTAGGTGGCCATTTCGGCAGTTGTTTTCCTTTTCTTTCGAGTTTACTAAATTAAATTTTGATTTTAACTGTCTCTTCACTGATTGGCTAATACTTTAGCTTTTCGGGTAGAGTGCAGTTTTTGTAAATCTGCATACCTCAGTGATCAAACGCTGATTGAGTTAAGACATTAATACCATTGGCGAATTTCTTTCTTATGTCCATTCATGTAAAACAAAAGTTAGATAAGTGATGGTCATATAAAAATAATACGGTTACATAATAATGAAGAATTTACTGTTTTATACTAGAATCTATTTTATGCGAGATAAACATTCAAAGTATTACTATATTTAGCGAATAATAATATCTTATGTTTTTCAGCTAATTGTATTGAACAAAAGAGTGATATAAGTAGTATTAGTCGAACAGAAGAGTCATTGAATACTTCTAGACTTCAGTTACCTTTATTTGAGAGATTGTTACCGGTGGGGCCTAATAAAGATGAATTAGTTATTATAACAAGTGATTCACAACAATCGGCAGGATCGTCAGGTATAGAGACATTATAATCTCTTAGCAATTAAGACAATTTCTCATCTATTATTATGGACAGCATTATGAATTAATATGATATTTTTGTTTTCAATAAATATGTTATTTTTTCAGATCATTTGATGGTACCCTATCCTTTCCACCATCGCATACTTTTCAAGAAAGGTAAAACTTTGTAGACATGTAGGCATTAAAAAGTTCCATATTATATAATTTTCAATGTACGAATATTTTTTCCATCGTCTTAACGTTCAAGTTATAAATTTTTATATAACGCTGAATGTCAAATATAAAAAATATAAAATATCATAAAAATATAATTACTAGTATTAACTTTAAATAAAGTACAGAATTTTGTGAAATAAATTTGTCACGTCATGCAAGTAGATTGATCACTTTAAATAAATAGTATTTTATACTATGCACGCATTTTTCAAAGTATTATAACATAAACATTAATTTGTTTAATACGTTGACCAGTAGGGTACATTAAGACGGCTTTCTTACTATCATTTAGTGAAACAATTATTAGTAAACTAAAAATTCAAGTTAAGTTTGCGAAATATTATAATAATCATATTCCATATCAGATAAACCTGATTTAAATATATCTATGTTCAAGTTATGCAATATTAATACTCTTACAATCAAGTGCGAAATCACTTGTTAAGGAAGGATTAACAAGTCTTCACAGAAAGAAGGAAAAAAAAGTTTTGTGTAAGTAATTTTTTTTTATTTTTCAACCTAATCTCCTTGAAGGTCGATACATTATTAAACGGCCTTCCAGTTTTTTTAAGCCATCAGAAAAATATGATTTCTGAAAATCCTCAAAATAGACATTTGTTTCGGCGATGAATTCTTCATTCGACGTGAATCGTTATCCGGCAAGTCACTTTTTGAGGTTAGGAAATTAGAAAAAGTCACTGGAAGCCAAATCAGGCGAATATGGAGGATGGTCAATTAATTCGAATTTTAAATCATTAATTTTTGCCATCGAAACTGCACACGTGTGAACTTGAGCCTTGTCTTGAAGAAAGAGGCATTGTTTTTGTTCAAGTGAGGACGTTTTTCTCTGATTTTTTCTTTCAGCTAACCTAATAATGCCGCATAATATCGCCAAGTGATCGTCTGACCCTTTTCCAAGTAGTCGATGTAGATGATTCCATACGCATCCCAGAAAACCGTAGCCATAATCTTGCCAGCTAACTTTACTGTTTTTTTTCTTTGGGGCTGGTTCTCTTGCGGTAATCCATTGTTTGGACTGTTCTTTGGTTTCAGGAGTGTAGTGGTGTACCCATGTTTCGTCTACAGTTATGAGTAGACGCCAAAAGTCTTTCGGATTACGACGTATGCGTGCCAAAAGAGTCTCAGAGATGACCACGCGGGTTCGTTTGTTTTCAACAGTGAGCAAACGCGGCACCCCTTTTGCTGATAATTTTTTCATCCCCAATTTTTCATGCAAAATTCAAATGATTGTATCCTTTGATACCCCTGTGTCCTCAACTAATTCTCGTAATTTTAATCTTCTATCACTCAACACCATATCGTGGATTTTGTTGACTATTTCGGGCGTACTCACTTCTACGGGGCGTCCTGAACGAGGTTCATCTTTTGTTGTTGTACTTTTAAATAGAAAGACTTTATCACCGCTCAGAAATCCCCTTTTTCCATTGTTAACAAAAAACAAAAATTAATCGTTTTGATTGACGATAAAAACGAAACTACTCGATAATCTGGCTGAAACTTCTGCAACACTCTATCTAATAGTGACGCTTGCTAGTGCAATATAATGTGGAATGCTTTGAGCGCCATCTGTTGGATTTTCTAAGGACTTATTCATCCACCTTCGTATATTATTAATTTTCCAGAGGAAAGCGTTAGTATTTGTTGCAACAGACCAGCTTGAATATGTCTTAAAACTAGTAATGCAGCCGAAAATTCATTTAAGACTAGTTTACGTCACGGAACACAAATTTACAGAAATAAACAAATTGTACAAATATCTATCGGTGACTTTTTCAAATTCTTTAACTAGCCGCCTCACGATACTTGTTTGAAAATGATTACTTTAAGTTAAATTAATAATCAAATAAAAGAATAAAATATTCATTATCGAAAACTTATTACTTTTTGGATGAGTTGTCTGATTGAACAGGTAGATATGACTGCTAATAGAGCTTACTATTACAACGTTTGGTAGCGCAACGCATACATGTCCAACCGTCTCAAGGAGCCAGGAAAGCATTTACTGCTATTTCCATTGCATATTGATGTAGGAATGCTGTTGTGAGGTGAAACAATGCTGATATCATCAGATCGACATTAATTATCATTTGCCTCAACCTTGGTTGGTGCATCTCGCACAGCATCTCCACTTAAGAGTTAGCTCTGCAAATTAAAAACATTCATTTTTAATTTATCTTACAAACTAATTCAACTTAGATTACTATAATCTGCAAAATAAGTTAACTTACAAATTTGGTGATGTTTCGTAATTTATAGCTTAGTTTGATGTCCATAATCTTATTGGTCATGAAAGCGGACGGCTATAAACAAAAAATATATTATTTAATATACTAAAACATTAAAAATTTCGAAAAAAAGAATAGTGGAAGACATAGTTAAAAAGAAAGCAAGAAAAAGATAAGTAAACAAGCAGATGAATACCATGAAAGAAAAAATGCAGTAAAGATACGGTAGCCAAAACAGAAGTCAGAAATGTAGAAACGATCAATATAAGATAACAGTGTAACAGAGAATTCCGGTTCGCCGGTCTTTTCCGTTGCCTCTCCCTCACTCCATTTGCTACGTTTGAGCTGAGAGTGTGTCGCTCTCTCATACCGATCTTTCTTTGTTTATGGTGTGGCGAATGAGCGGATTGTTGGAGCCAGAAGCGGCCGACAGAGTAATGTGGCGAGGAGAGAAAGAAATATGCGAGGGAGTGAGAGAGATGAAGAGGGCGCGGTCTGCGCGCGCATTCGACGAGCACACGGCGGGAGCGAGAAAATCGACAGTATACATTAGGCTTGTTCGCGAGGTTATTTTTAGTCGATCGGTTTCTTCTAAAGAAATCACGCTCGCTAGGAAATGCCGATTTGATCGAGGAGTGATAGGGTCGCTGATATGAGAGATGTCACCGTCGTACAGAATACCCAGATTTATTCACCTTTACTTTTATACAATGAAGAGAGTATAATTAAATAAATGAAAACACTTTCTCGAATTCGCGAGACCACACGGAGATGACAGAAGGGCTCTCCCATGAGAATCACCCAGATGCGAACGCCAACCGCGATCTCCTCGCCAGACTGAGAGGCTTCCAACCTGGGGACGACAGCGCTGCTTGACACGAGCAACCAGACAAGTCACTGTCACATCAGGTGATCAGGCGCCAGGGCTGTCACGAAGATGAGCAGGGACAGTTGCCGGAGGAATCGTTGTGAAGCAGATGCTGGAGCGTTCGCTGGTTGTTCGACCAGATCTCAGGGGAGAAGAGGGGGCAAGCGCTGCACACCCCAGTGATAGACACGCCGAGAACTCACTATCACCGCCGTGTCGAGAGCCGGAAGTAGAGATGACCGATCCGTTGGTGATCAGGAACAGAACTGGTTGGTCAGCTCGTCCGTCTCTCAGGCATCAACTCTGGTGAGCGCCTCGACGTCGTCTCCTACTCAAGGACTCACATATAAGGACTAAGTCCTTATACGTGAACGTAGTAAGAGGTTCACAAGTTGTTACGTAGTCGCCTAAAAACCTTCTAACCATGCAGACATTTCAAGGAACCTATGTTGCTTGAAATTTTTTGGCGTAAGGTATTCAAGAATAGAACGAGTTCTTTTAGGATCGGGAAGAAAGCCTTTACGATTAACTAACACACCGAGGTAGCGTACCACAGACATGCATATCTGCGATTTTTTGTGATTTATAGCTAGAACAGCTTTTTAAATCCTATCTAGGATTACTCTAAGCCATTTAACATGCAAACGTCTCGGTCTCGATAATCATGTGATGAGAGCCTGGATTTTCATCAGCCGGCTTCGTTATAATCTCTCCTTCCTCTTCCCTCTTCTGTTTGCGATCTGCACTTGCAACCACTCTTGAGCGGGAGTTGTAATTGGTATGCTTATGTCCGGCTTTGGTTTTTGTTTCGAGGTTTAGCCAACAGCTGCAGAAGGAACAAAGGTCGTATGGCGATGTAAGGACTGTCGGGGATGCAGGAGAGGAGGAGTGACAGGGAGAGAGAGATAGAGCGACCACGGAGACGTTAAGAAAAGTTAATGTCGCTGATCGACGTTGAGGTGCGCCTTGGATGAGAGGTAGGGATCTTGGCGCGAAGAGAGAACTCAGGCAGTATAACGTGAACTATCACAGGAGTTATTAGTGAAGTAAAAGCAGGGGCTAACACAAGGCAAGGAACCCCTTTGTTAGTGAAAAGCAATTAACGAGAGGACGAACACCTGTGGTTTCTAAGTTTCCAGCGTACAGCAAGTGTTCAGGCTAGTCCAGTTCCTCTCTCTCTCTCTCTCTCTCTCTCTCTCTCTCTCTCTCTCTCTCTCTCTCTCTCTTTCAGTCTCGTGTCAAATGTCGTCGGCAAGTCGCGTCGTGAATAGCAATGCTCGGCGTTCATCCGCCTAAGTACCTTTCAGAATCAGACAGAAATCCTTTTCTCTTTAGCCCTTTTCTTTGTTTACCCTGGAGGATTTCAGGCGTTCATTTCGCTGAATCCTTGGATCTTAACGCGGATGCGATTAGGATAAAATAGCATTTATAATGATGATTCATCGCTGCGTCTAACATCTTTGTAAATTATTTTTTTTATAATAAAGTGAGTTCAACGAACGCGTGACTACTCTTTGTTAAGCTACCTCACCTCATTTCATGTGTCGTACACGATTGCAGAGTGGTCCACTTTGCGTTTCCGGAAGCTACCTGCCTTCCGAACTTCTCTTTGTAAATAAATTGTGCACAGATTCTTCGGGCAAATCATTCTAATTAAAGAATCGCATGACAATCAGGTCGTCTAAATACGCAAACGCATAAGGCTCCATTTCCTGCAAGGTAGCAGATCCACCTGCGAGTCCATATGGTATCCTGACGAACTCAAACAATTCTATGCCTGGAACAATGAATCCTGTGATCAAGATCGATTACTGGGTCAAAGGAAT